ACGGCTGCATGAAGGTTAAAGACGGCCCTGCATGTCTCATCCACTTATTTCTTGATCATCTGATGCATTAAAAGATGAAGTCAAGTCCCTGAGAGCACGTCCGCGGGGAACACAGTTGGCATTTATGTGACACGTAGCCACAGCTGCTTCCTGTCTTTTCATCCAAGAAATTTATGCAAATGACAAAAATATATTCAATTTGTAAAGCTGAATGGAACGGACAGGTTTCTGCTGGAGAAATGTCTAAAGAGAAGACAAGAAAAGAAACATCCGCACACAGAAGAAGAAGAAGAAGAAGACGGAGGAGAAGACCATAACGCTGCTCTCACACAGCGTCTTTGTGAATCAGTGAATAAATGATGACCTGGAGATGTTGGCTGCTTCACGTTGCCCCGGTCGTTTCTCTGCCTGAATCTCTTCTCCTATACAGTATATATGAGTGAGAGCCAATGAAAATGCATTTACTGAAGGTCCAGTGTTGAGATCAGCACCTGGACAGCTCCCCAGTCCATCACAGGGTCAGATACAGAGACAACAACCAGTCGTTCACACCAACATTCACACCTTTGATCCAGTGTGAACAGTGTCAACTTAACCCGTCAAGTTTGTGATCAACTCATCATTTACGGGCTTTGAACTCATGATCTTCTCACTGTAAGGCGAGAGTGCTAACCACTTCACACTGCGTGGCCCCCATGTTGAATATTTTTTTCAGTAAGTTCTACTAGTCGTGAGATAAGGAAAGGGTTAACAACCTCAAGCTCATTTCCAAAGGTTAAGCTAAAGGTTAGCGGAAAAGCTTCATTAAAAATGAGCTAAATTTAAAAATCTAACATTTTCAAATGTTAGAAACAGAAGGAAGATTAGCCTGGCAGCTAATGTCTCCTGAATGCACAGCACCGCTGCTAATATTCAGGGACACTTTTGACATCAGTGACTCTGACGTCTGAGCCGTCTGCCGTTCCCGCTCTCGTCTCCACGCCCTGCCTTATCGACTCGTCACCCGGCCGTGCTGGGCGTCGGCCTCCTCTCGCCTCATCTCACAGAATGATTGCGGCTGACATTTAATCTGTTCGCTCCACAAACAGGGCCGCACTCCGTTAATGACACATGCATATGGATGAGGAGCGCAGTCCGATCTCAGATCTCAGCGTGGACCACAGTGGGGTCCTGGAAAAGCTTGGAAATGACCTTAAAAGTGCTTGAAAACAGTGAAGAAAAAAACCACCAGAAACTCATCATTTTCATATAATTCCTTGAAGGACCTAAGATTCTTATAAGCAGGTGTCGTCGTGCTTTTTCATCTTTCCACCACATGGGGTGGTATAACACTGGCTGCATGACAGAAATATTGCCGAAACAAATCTCCACAAATTATGGCTTAGGTTGAACTAAAGTAGAGTCAGTAGGTTGTGGCTAATCGTGGCTAGCACTTAGCATAACAAAAAAACAATAGCAATCAAATCAGTATTTAACCCCGTTAGCTAAAGCTAGAAGTTAGCCAGTTAGCCACAGAAAAGTCGTTGGTCAAACACAATATGGTCAATGTTTGTCAAACATGTAGCAAAAAAAGTTGACAGAAAAAAACAAACTGTGACTTAGGGTTAGCTGAGAACTGGACAGAAGCTAACTAAAAAAAGCTAAAGATTAGCACGAATTGCAGTTTTTCTGTACTCTTCAACCGTGTGTGTGTGTGTGTGTGTGTGTGTGTGTGTGTGTGTGTGTTACAGATCATGTGTCGGTCGGGGGTCTGGGCGACAGTTTCTACGAGTACCTGCTGAAAGCCTGGCTGATGTCTGACAAGACGGACGAGGAGGCCAGGAAGATGTACTACGACGCCCTGCAGGTAACACACACACACACACACACACACACACACACACACACTGATCCAGAACTGATCCAGAATCAGTCCAGGTCTGGAGCAGAACAGAAGCAAACGCTGACGGAATAAAATACCAGCTCAGAGCGTCCAAACCTTCCTGATGATTCCTCTGCTGACTGGGCTCTGCATTAATTACCACTGTTTACCCCCACAGTTCTGGCTGCAGAGGCAGTTTCTCTTTATTTGTCTTAACTGATCCACGAGCAGCGGCTGAACCAGAACAATCAGAACCTCAGAACAAAGGAAGGATCAGCTACAGTCGACAGGATGTACTTCACAGGATCTGCGGCTGTGTTTGTAGGATTTGAATAAAAACTGCAGTTCTGTTCCAGTGAAATACTGAAAAAATACTGTGTGAGTGATAAAACCACACAGGGCCGTTTTACCCATAATTCCTCCTAATCTTCCAGGACCACAGGGTTGAGCTGAGTGTGTCAGTCAGTGGAGTAGAGTGAGGAGGGAGTGTGTGTGTGTGTGGGTGGGTCAGCAGGGAGGTGACGTCGTGACCGTGCAGTAAATCCCGTTCACGCCTCCACCGCCGTCTTCCTCCTCAGGCCATAGAAACCAACCTGATGAGGAAGTCCAGCAGCGGGCTGACCTACATCGCCGAGTGGAAGGGCGGCCTGCTGGAGCACAAGATGGGTCACCTGACGTGTTTCGCCGGAGGCATGATCGCCCTGGGCGCCGACGGAGCGGCCGAAGACAAGACCGGCCACCAGATGGAGCAAGCTGCCGAGATCGCCCGCACGTGTCACGAGTCGTACGTTAGGACAGGTAAATACAAAAAAAAAAAAAACACGCTGACCCGATACGGACATGGGCGCTAACGTTAGCTCGATAAATCCATTTTCTCTTTCTTCCCTTCTGCAGGTTTGAAACTGGGTCCCGAGGCGTTTCGGTTCGACGGCGGCGTTGAAGCCATCGCCACCAGACAGAACGAGAAGTACTTCATCCTGCGTCCTGAGGTGGTCGAGACCTACATGTACATGTGGAGGTTCACGCATGACCCCAAGTACAGGGAGTGGGGCTGGGAGGCTGTTCAGGTACCAACATGTCTGAGTGAAGAGTTGAGTACATGTACGTGATCTGGGTTTGACCTCCTGACCTCCTGACCTCTGACCTCTACACTCCAGGCCCTGGAGCAGCACTGCAGGGTGGAGGGAGGCTACAGCGGCATCAGGGACGTCTACGCCTCCTCCCCCAACCACGACGACGTTCAGCAGAGCTTCTTCTTAGCAGAGACGCTCAAGTAAGACTCGGACGTGTTTGGTCCGTGAACCAGTCGGACTTG